CACATAAATGTAGACAGTATTTTTTATATGTAAAAATTACGTACAAAAATTTATGCAAAAGTATTGATATATGTAACGTGAATAACCTCCTATGAATAACTTCTATGAAACACATAATAACTGAAATATTACATCTTTTAAAGTTATAATCAAGTCAGTAACATCAAGATACTATGTACTCAAAAGCTGACTTGTTATCTTTATTAATAATTATTGTGCGGTATTGATATATAATTGATTGCCATAGTAATATCTACGTAATATAATTATCTACCACAAACCGCAAATAAATGTTGATCATAAACGGTCATTACGCTCGCACAGGTGATGACGAGAAAACCTCAACAACTATCATCGTAATTAATCATCGTAAATCAAATTAGTAGAAGATACGATTGGATTAATAATTATCATAATAATAATAAATTCTGTATCAACTAATTTTACGAATGCAATTTTATAATTGCATTATTCGTCAAAAAATATAATATCTTCAAAAGTCTAGCTTCTCAAGACCGATTTAAGAACGGGTACTTTTTTTTAATCCATTTCACAATTGCGAAATAGCGAAATTAAACTAGTTAATATATATTTTGTATTTAATAAAATCAATTTGTTGATGAATAAATATAAAAGAATCAATTACGGTGATTTCTCTCAACAATATTACTCAAAAATAGTTGAAAAGAAATTTATGAGAGATGCAACTTATTGTTTTTATATTTTGCAAGTATGAAACAATTAAATAACGTGCTTCTTAATCCTAGATTACTACTTCGAATTAAGTGAGTTAAGTAAATCTTTATATTACTCTCAAATAATATTTATGATACTGAATTGTAGCCACGCATACGTAATTTAGAATATAAAATTGTCAAGAAACGTGACTTGTGCAAATGTTAATATTGTGCTCAAATTAAGTATATGACTGTTAAAATTAAGCGCTTTTGTTTAGCGCAAAACTTTTTATTTCTCTAAGATAATAACCTATGAGATCCAAAAAAAAACAATCATTACATGCGTAATTATACATTGTAATTAGCTCCAAAATAACAATCGCAAAATTACATGTTACAATTGTTGTCATTCATTACTTGTAGCATAACGTCGAAACATATCGGAAGGACGGAAACATTCGCGACGGATGCGACGAAGCTGAATGCAACTGATGGCTGTATCAGCCATCAGTATGCATATACCGGTGGGCGTTATCGCAAAACCAGGGGCAGCGTTATCACTCTGATATCCAACATATATACATCCTTCACGACCGGCCCCTGGCCTCCAGTGACTCGCGGACCACCGGCTTAGTTGAGCGCTTTAGTGACACTGTGTACATGCTCTCTTTTGCATCTCGGAGCACGTTTGGAGATGCTTGCCAGCGATCACAAGCTGATCGATCGATCGATCACGCGCCGTCAAGCGTCGCCAAACAGCTCAAGATCGATTTAAAGAGAGAGAGAGAGAGAGAGAGAGAGAGAGAGAGAGAGAGAAAGAGAGAGAGAATCCTTTTTTCTCAACTACCCTCCCTGAGCACGCGAGATCGCGAAAGGTGGAAGTGGTACTCACCGTATTCACGGTGCCGGTACTTGGCCACAGGTTTGCCATCGTCATCGCTCCTCCTCTTCATCTCGTGATTATACTCGTTTTTCTTGAGATCACTTGATGTTTATCCTTCGTTGCGTTTCCGCTTCTTCTCTGTCTGTCTGACAGCTGCTTGTCAATCTGGAATTGGCACTATAAGCTAGAGACTTGGCACTTAATTCTCGACTGCGAGGATGACTGCGACTACGACATTCTCACCTACGGAGGATTCACGCGTTCTTTGTCCTTTTGTTGTCGCGCACGGAAGATGCAGAGAAGAGCGATTGAGAGATGCTGTGTGTACACCGCGATCGGCGACTAGACGAAAATTAAGATCCGGACTTTTGCTGGCTGTACGAGAACTCGCGCCACTGCTCTATGATCGGGAGCGAGGCTCATGTATATTATGTACATAGAGCAAACGGAGCAAGAGGAGGAAAAGAGATGGAATGAAAGGTAGAGGAACAGAGCTAGAGAAAAGACGGTAAAACAAAAGGGGAAAAGAAACAGAAGGAGAATAAACGAGAGAGACGGAAAATGAACGAGCAATTGCGGTCTCAGCGGATGGCCGAAGCGATCCGAGTTTGCTAGCGAGCTGCCCGAGCTGAGTGAACGAAGGCGAGACGAAGATACCACGAGAACGAATGCATAGAGACAAGGAAAGATGAAGAGGGGAGTGAATAAGTCGAAGAGTAGGACGAGACGAAAACGAGAGCAAGAAGGAGAGGAAAAGAGAGAGAGAGAGAGAGAGAGAGAGAGAGAGAGAAGGAATAGGGTAAAATAGAACAGAGAAAGAGAGAGAGAGAGAATGACCAATTCGAACTGTGATCGCAAGCGGAGTGGTGATTTGAGAGGGGAGAGTCGGTCTCGATGCCTACTGCCTCATGCGGTGGTAGGAGCAGCGCGAATCATGCTGGGGAAAAGTATGGGAGTAGTAAAATCGCCACGCGGCGTGGCACGGTGTGGTTATTATCGCGTGAGTTCTATACCCATCTACGCGCGACGTTTCTTATCAGTGCGAGAGGAGGGCTGGCTAGTGACCACCTCCTATCCCTTCCTTCTTCTTTTCAGACTCGAGGCATCGAGACCGACTTTTGTGCATTACTTTGCGCTACATACATATATACATACATATATACATACATACATACATACATACATACATACATACATACATACATACATACATACATACATACATACATACATACATACATACATACATACATACATACATACATACATACATACATACATACATACATACATACATACATACATACATACATACATACATACATACATACATACATACATACATACATACATACATACATACATACATACATACATACATACATACATACATACATACATACATACATACATACATACATACATACATACATACATTAGAATATATATATGCAGGAATGTTATTTTAATTTATTGCGTTCTTATTACCCACGCGTTTACTATACTTTTTGATAATCACACTATTTACTGAATTTTCTTATTTTATTATTAAAGCAAATCTTGAAGCATAAGCTTTAAATTCGACTAAAAATATATTGTATAAAAATATAAAAAGTATAAAAAGAGATTTCTATGAAATAAAGCTCTAATTACAGCTTTA